ACATTGTTTCCCATTGTTAAGGAGATTAGAGCCATTTAGGAGAAGCCTCTGGCTTTGCACTTGATCAATGGAAAGAATACTCTCAGGGCAAGACCCAACTTGTTTAAGGCCCAAGGAGTTTGCTGCCCCTAGAAAACTACAGCATACAAAAGCTGCTGATAATGTTCTGATAGGGCCAAGGTCCATCCCAAGTTGGCAGTGAAACTTAGTAGTGTTGGTCACATGGTGCTGGCTTTAGAGGCATGAAAAGAGTTAGTGGGTCATTGATTCTTCCATGTTTTCAGAAAGCCATTGAGGCCAAACAGCATGCAATGGGGAAGTCCCTTCATAAAGAAGGTCCTGGGAGGCCAAAAGGTCCTAAGAGGCCATTGCATGAATCTTTGAAGCTCATGCCTGGGTTATAGTGGAGACCCCAAGATGTAGGAGATGCCAGAACCATGAAACATCTGCAGGGAGTGGTACCAACCAAGGGAGAAATGTATGTTGCAGGCAGCAGAGCTGAAGGGACTGAGCCATCTAAGTCCTGTGGAACTAAAGTCCCAGACATAGGACATGGAGCTACAGGAGTCTGTGTTTGTCCTGGTGAATTCCAGTTTTAGTCTGGTAGTCTGTACTATGCCCCCATGCCTCCCTTTTGGAATTGGAATATGTATTCTTTGCCATGGTTTGTTGAAAGTATGTTATTTGCTCCTTGATTTTACAGGGGCTTACAATTAAGAAGGTAGTCTTGAGTCTCAGAAGAGACTTTGGACTTCTGAATACTGTTAAGACTATTAATTGAAGATTATGTGAAATTTTAAAATTGCACTAAATGCATTTTGCATTTTGATATGGCCATGAGCCTACGGGGCCCAGGGAGTGGAATGTGGTGGTTTCAGTGAGAATGTCCCCTATATGCTCCAAGTACTTGAACACTTTATCCCCAGTTGATGGCATTGTTTGGTTGAGATTTGGGGGTGTGGCCATGCTGGAGAAAATATGTCATGGGGGTGGGCTTTGACAATTAATATAAGTGCCTTGATCATAGTTATCTCAGCAACAGAAAAATAACCAGTACATCATTTATCATTCAGTAGTGTGTTGTTTAATCTCTTGAGTTTGTGTACTTTCTCCAATTTCTCTTCTTGGTAATTTACCTTTATTCTATTGTGGTAAGGTACAATACAGAATGTAGCTTCAATTTTCTTTTGTTAGATGTTCCTTTGTGTCCTGGTATGTGATCTGTTTTGGAGAATGTTCCATGTACTGCTGAGAAGAATGTGTGTTTTGGTGCAATGTTATGTAGATGTCTCTAAGCTTCACTTGATTTATTATGTCATTTATCGCCAATGTTTCTGTGTTTATTTTTTGTCTAAAAAACCTGTTGAGAAAAGCAAAGTATTCAAGTTGCTCATTATAACTGTTGTAGTTGATCTAAGACTTTAGAACTGTTAATGTTTGTGTTAAGAAATTCAGTGCACCTATGTTTGGTGTGTGTGTTTAGAATTATAATCTTGATTAGATTGTTTCCTTAATAAATATGAAGTGACAAAAAAAAAAAGAGGATCCCTTGTCTTGAGTGCAGTACCATCTGAAGAGGCCTGAAAGAGGTGTTTTGTCTCTTCTACCATGAGAGGACACACAGAAGTGCCTTCTGTAAGGAACAAGCCCTCTCCAGGTACTGAATCTGCTAGTGCCCTGCTCCTTCAATTCCTAATTTCCAGAACTGTGAGTAACAAATTCCTGTCGTTTATGTAAATGACCAAGTCTGGATTTTCGCTATAGCAGTCTTAATGGATAAAGATAATGTCTTTTACTTTAACCTAATTTTGGTCGATTTTCCCCTTAGATTTTTTTTTAATGTATTCATACCTGTGTTCTGTGGTGGGCACTCTTGTTTAAGACAAAAAACTCACTTTTATATGAAGATCTTTCAAACTTCCACACAAATGAGAGTATAAGTGACTGAAATCTAGATCTTTACCATGTAAATACAAAAAGCAGATCTCGGGAGAAAATTAATTCAAATTAACATCCTAACCACATGTGCCCAGGATGCCCCCTCTGTGTTCACAGCATGTTTTAGCAAGTACAGACTAGTTCATCGACTCGTCACTATATGCATCCATGGCATGACACAGCGAGCCCAGGACTTCTCATTTTTGCATGTGTATTATTCTCTGGAACTCTTCCAAGTGTCGGTAATGGGACTCCATCCCAAATCAATCTAAATCAAAAGGGAGTGAGTATATTGGCTCTTTCTGAAGGGAAACTCAAGACTGTTGGCAATAACTGTTTTCAAGGGCTCTCCTGATGTGATCTGGGTGGATTTCTCTCTGTGTCTCTCAGATGTGTTTTTTCAAAATGCAGTGGTAAAAATCATGAGCTCTGCAAACAGCTGCAAGGTTGAGGGTCCTCAGCCCACTGCTTCCTCGCTGTTCCACACAGACCTCAAAACCTGACTGCACCTCAGTGTTTTCAATCACAAAAATTAAAATAATGATGGGTGTGGTGGTATACACCTTTAATCCCAGCACTTAGGAGGCAGAGGCAGGCAGATCTCTGTCAGAACTGAGACCAGTGTGGTCTACATAGGAAGTCCCAGGCCAGCTGTGGCTACAGGGGGACCCTGTCTCAAAAAGGTGAAAAAAAAAAATAAGATAATGATCATTTTTACAGCTTGGGTTTCGGGGGAAGACTAAATAAATTCAAATACAAACTACTTAAATCATCATTAACAGCATCATGCAAGCTCTTCCCTCTGGGCGATAAAGATGCCTCAGTGACAAGCTTTATGATATTCTTGGTGGGAGACATTCCATGGGAAAAGAGCACCTCTTCCTGGGAACTTCAGGAAAAACGCCTGGACATAATTCACATTTTTCAAAGCTGGATCATGTGCACAAGCATGGATTGGAGGGTAGGGTCAGTCCCCACTGAGTACTTGAACTAATGGTAATAAAAGAGGGGTGCCTTGAAGGAAAATTGGAATGTTGTTACCAAGAGAAGAAAGAGATCTTGGGAAAAATCAAATGTTCACTGCAGAGCCAACTATATCTGGATTATTAAAATAGTAAATAAAAGACTAGGGAGATGGCTCAGTAGGTAAGGGCACTTGATGTGCACACATCACGGATGATAGCTTGAATCACCATCACCCACGTGAAAAGCCAGACATGGTCATGTACACTTGTAACCTTAAGGATAGAAGGCGGAGACAGGAGGATCACTGGGGCTTGCTAGATACCAGCTTGGCTCCAGGTTCAATACGAGAACCTGCCTTAAGAGAACAAGACAGAATGACAGAGTAGGATACCTGACAGCCTCTTCTGGCCCCCACTCATGTACATGGGCATATGTACACATACATGCACACACACAATTAAATTAAAATACTAAAATAAAATAGTAAATAATATCTATTGCTATTTTGCACAATAAACACTAGTATTCATGAAAAAGACACAACTATGAGCCATTTTTAAATTCCTTTATTGTTCAAGGGGTTAGGTTTGACAATTGTAAAAGTCCCTTCCAGATTTAATAAGATTGAGATTTAGAAAGATTTTGAGACATAATGAAAAAAAGAAAATATAATAGAAATAAACCTTCAGTCACCTACAGAGGGACACGTTACCACAAAGGCTCCACAGTCAAAGTAGCAAGTAAGCATCTCCATTTGGGTTTGCTGTGTTTGGAAGGGATGGTCATGAATGCTTTACAGAAGGAGGCAGGTTTGAAGAACCATCTTCCTTTTGACATGGAAAAAAATATATGGGTTGAATAAAAGAGTATATGTGAAATTTACCAAAAAAAAAAAACCATTTTAAACATGTTGCTTATTTTCCCATTACAAAGTCGGTGAAAATTATAAAATATTATCATGCAAATTAAAGTGAAAAGAAGTTGCCTTCCATAAAAGTTTACCTTCATGACTCTCTTCTGATGCTGGTGAACTCTAGATACAGATTAATTAGCAAATGAGCTGCTGAGGCAGTCTGACCACATAGTAGAATATGTTTCCCTCTGCATTTAGTGCCTTACCAATAGGAGGCTGGTTGGTACCCTGTGGGCTCTCAAGAGGACACCATTTTTTGTGTGTGTTTAATCTAGTCATGAAAACTAAAATACTTTCCTGTATACAACAGAGCCTATTTTCCCAGCTGTTGAAGTCAATCAAATTCTCAGTTTATGTATTTTTTGAATTATTTTTGCTTTTTTAAAAATATTTTGTCTATTATTTTTATTTTATGAGTACATTGCCTGCATGTGTGTAAGTGTTCCCATGTTCTGTCCCTTATATATTGAGCAGGGTCTCTAGCTTGAACCCAGAGCTCAACAACTTGACTAGTCTAACTAGCCAGCTTGCTTGGGA